TTCGTCCTTGTGTTTTCATTCAGTCATTATTAAGGTCCGACATCAATAATCCCTCTGTTTTCCTTGGCGCTGCTCGCTCGGCCATGGACTGTTTTATGCTTTTTTTGCCGGGGGCTCACAATTACAGGGACAAAACGCCACACTCGTTGTTATACTGTAGCTTGATTGGTAACCTACGACTCTCCCTTTGGACAGCACGAGAGGATCCCAGACGTGGTAGTCTGGTACACACTGGGGGACTTCTATGATGTCTTGGGCGGCCAGAACATTTTTTGAAAAATTACACACGCTCTGAGATGCCAATCTAGAGCTATTTCAGGAGTTACGTCCAATAGCTTACAACTAGCAACCACTTTGTGGGATGGAAAAGGAAAAAAAAAAATTATAGTTTCGTGTAAATTGACCTACATGTTAAAATGGTTATTGATGCGGCACTGGGGAATTCCTGTCTGTGTTGGAGTCGTGTCCAAAGTAAACTATGTATTTGTAGACATTACAACGACTCTTATCGTAGGGAAGCTTTAGCCTACACCCTGTATGAAATGTATATAGCTTTTTGTCAAACGTTAAACACAATATGACACGGTTTAAACACTGAGTGGTCGGACGAACGGCTGTACTTGCTGGTTGCGATGACTATAAGTAATTACGACGTGGCTTGTTCAGCATTACAGTGCATATTATGACATGATGTGTTAAAACTTGACTGACCAATTATTATTACTCTTACTGTGATAATTCAGCGGATTGATATATTACCCTAAATCTTCTTAATATTATTTTTAAAACAGGCTATACTGATCGTTTGTAATAAATACCAGTGATACTGTATGTTACATCCCAAACGTGAAATGCGCAGGAGGTAGAATTACTTCACAACCTAAGTAGTAAGGCTAGATTAGGAAAAAAATCCGTTCAAATTAGTGGAAACAAAGTATGACAATTGGTTACACTTGCATACTTTTGTATGCTCTTTATTTAAAAGCAGAGACACACGCCGGTCCAACTCAACTTCGGCCGCCATCTTGAATTTAAAAATGGCCCCGGCCATTTCACGTTTAAAAATAGCATCATCTCGCGTTAATAATCTTCGTGACCAGGACTTGAAAATTGATGTGACAGACGTAATTTGGCTTACTAGTTCACGTACAACACCGTCGATGAATGTATCAGGCGAGGGGGTTTTCGGCTCGGTCCATTTTCATTGAAGTCAAAAAAATGGGCCGCCGTCAGTTCTTAAAAATAGCCTAATCTCGGTTCAATTAATCTTCGCGTACAGTACTGAAATAATTGGACTGAAGAGCGAAACTTTGGGCGGTACTTATTTTGACTACAACCAACGTGATGCATTGATCAAGGCTTTTTCGGCCACTCATGGAATTCAAAATGGCCGCCGTCATATTCATGTACTTAAAAATTTAGCATAGATTCCTCGGTTAATATCTTCATCAGACCTTGAAAATTTACTGGAAGACGTAATTGTGGTTGCCCCACTATTTAACAGTGGACAACAACGTGATGATTGATGCCGAAAGGGGGACGGCATCTCAAACGATGGCCACGCCATAAAAATTACGAAAACTTAGCAATGATTGATTTCCGTTCACGGAAAGATATATAGAGACGGCTGAAAAGTTGCACAATGGCGAGAGTGACATACCCATCCCGGCCAACACGTCGAGCACGTGCCGTATCCAACACGCGGTTGGAAACGATGGGACAAAAACACGCCATACTCTATCGCTTGGCTTCTAATACACGACATATTTCACACGTGCCGGTTTCTTCAAGTAAAACACGCGGTACGTGTACACAAGCAGTTCCAAACATCAACCTGCGCGGAGGCACGGCCGACGGCACGCACATAACGGATAGCCTATAACGCGCCGTCCGAGAAACCGCCGCACGCAGATAACGACGATAGTATATACCAGCGCACGAGCACGCTACGCACATAACAAGCAAAGCTATATCCAGGCGCAAGCCAGCACGCCGAGACATGAACAGGTAACCTACTACGCTGCGCGAGCCAGCGCGGGGGGGTGAGGCGGAGGATGAGCGCGAGGGAGGGGGTGCGGGCGGGAGCGAGCGCGCGGAGGCGGGGCGACGAGAGCGAAAGGGAGCGGCCGGCGGAGTGAGGCGCAGTGAGGGAGCGAGAGGGAGAGGCGGCGCGGGGGGGGGAGAGAGGCATGAGAGCGAGCGGAGGCGGGCGCGCGGCGAAGCAGGCGCAGAAGCGGGAGACGGTGAAGCGCGCGGGGCGGAAAGAGCGCGAGGAAAGTGCGGGAGTTGAGACGGGGCGCAGCAGAGCAAAACAGCACGCACAGAAAGAAGTACCTATAACAGACAACGCGGACGCCAACGCACATAAATAGAAGCTATATACAGCCGCCGCGGAGCAAACAGCACGGCAATATAAACAGGTACTATTACGCCGCAATGAGAACGGCACGCAGATAAAAACAGGGTACCTATATAAACAAGAAAAACAGCGCCACCGAGCACGCACGGAACATAGACGATAGCATACGCCACGTGAGAACGCGCACGCAACGCATCAATAACAGATAGCCTAGTATACCAGCGCGCGCAGCAACCGCACGACAACTAAAAGAGTACCTATACGCCCGCGCGAGAACGCACGCCAAATGACAAAGAAAGCTATAATACGGGCGCAGGACCAGCGCCACGCACCAGAACAGGTACTTATACGCCGCAGCCCAAAACACGCACGCACATACAAAAGCTATATACGCGCGGCGAGCACGCGTGACGCCCATAACAGGGTACATATACGCCGCACGAGAACGCAACGACATTACAGGTATAATGATGCTTGCATACGACTTGAAACCTTTATGACAAGACCGTAATTTGAGTTACTATTCATCCCAACACCGATGAGATGTGATCAAGGGCGGATTCAACAAATGGACAGCCGCACAATAAAAATTACAAAGCTTGAGCAATATTTCCTTTCACGGAAGACCTATAGAGACGCGTACAAAATTTGCCAAATGCGCAGGTAACGGCAATCCGGCAGTACCGACACGTAGCCGTATCAACACGCTGTATGAGAAAAACGATGGAAAAACCAGCATTATATTATCGTTGAGCTTCTAAAACACGCCATATGTCAAGCGTGAACGCGGGCCACCAGCGCACCTCATCTCCCCCCGGTCCGCCCCCAGCCGCTTCGCGAGCTGTTCCCGGCTGCCTCGACTCGCCGGGAGATGCTGGGCGATTGGCGGCCGTGGCCTAGGAGCCTTGGCGATGGGAGGGGATGGCCACGCCGTCCGGCCGTGGTGGTGGTGCTTGGCCGATGGCCCAAGGGGCGGCGATGCGGGATTGGGGCGATGGAGGCAGGCATAGGCGCGCCCGGGGGTTTGGTTGTCGGACTGCTGGGAGGGAGGAGCGCGGGGGCGTCGCGCCGGGCTGGTTCCTTCAGGTAAACGGCGACGGTGTACCAGCAAGCAGTTCCAAACTGCCACGCGCCGCGCGGAGCCGCACGCCAGCGCACATAACCAGATAGATATCACGCCCGGCAGACCGAGACACGCTCGCATCGACATAACAAGATAGATACTATACGCCGCACCGAGGCTGCGGCACGCAGAGACAAGCAGGAGGTGATAACGCTGCGGCAGCGGGGCGAGGGGGACGCCACACTAACAGGTACCTCATAGCGCTGCCGCGAGCAGGCGCACGCACATAATAGCTGACCGGCTACCGTCAATACAGCCCCGCGAGAACGCCCAGCATTGCACGCACATACACGGGATTAGCTATATGACGCGCACGCGGAGGCGACCGACCGCACATTAACAGGGTACCTCATCCTCGGCGCGACGAACGCGGCGCAGACTAAAGGATAGCGATTACCGCCCGCGACAGCACGACGCACACTCAACCAGGTACCTCATACCCGCGATGCGAACACGCACGCACGCGACTAACAGATAACGATAATATGACGCGCGCTGGGATGGCGACGGAACCGCATCAGGAGAAGAGGCATTACCTATCACGGCACGCAGAAGAGACCCAAGCACATGGATAAACTCAGAAGCGGAGTATTACGGCGACAGCAGAGCACGGCACGCATAATTAACAGGTTTACCTATACCGCCCGCGAGACACACCGCCGCAGATACACAGTACCTATAACCCGCGCGCCGAGGCGACGCACGGCAACAATAACAGATAGTCTATCCACGGCGTCCGGTCGAGATGACGCATGACCGGGCGACGAGAGGGCACTAAAGAGGATCGCCTGAGGAAATAGCTGATTATACGGGCGGGGAGATGCTGGGCTGGAGAACGCACGAATGCGCACCACTACACTAAGTACCTAATCAGGCGCCGCGAGAACCGCACGCACATACAGAAGCTAGTTATACTGCCGCGCCGAGGCACGCACGCACAAACAGGTACCATACGCCGCAGAGAACGCACGCGTACGCACCATACGAACAAGGTGATGATACGCTGTGCGGAGACACGCAACGCAGGGCATTAAATGGATGGCCTAGCTAGCAGGCCGGGTAGGAACGCACGCACGCCGCAGATGAACAAAGTGATCATACGCATGTGGCATCGAGGGCGAGTGCCACATGAGGACAGCAATAGCCTATTACGCGAGGCTGCGATTGGTGAGAACGCCACGGCACCGCACATAACAGATAGCTATATACGCCGCGCGAGCACGCGTCACGAATCATAACATGATACCGATACGCCGCGACGGAACGCAGCGAAACTACAGATAGCGCTATTTACTGCTACATAAAGATACCTATATTTGATG